CGGGACTATAGGTCAGAGCCCTTTAGTCCCGGTTCATGGCACAAACCGGTACTAAAGGTTAGCCCTTTAGTACCGGTTTGTGTCACGAACCGGTACTAAAGGTGATCATGGGGCCCCGGCCTGACGCCAGCCTGCCACCACCCCTTTAGCACCGGTTCGTGGCACGAACCGGTACTAAAGGTTCAACATGAACCGGCATTAATGCATAGCCGTTCGAACCGGCACTAATGGTGCCATTAATACCGGGCCAAAATCAAACCGGGACTAATGTGTCTCACATTAGGTCCTTTTTCTACTAGTTCTTGTCGCCACGTCGAGGATTTGCTTCAATGAGTCAATAGCTATGACAAAAAGGAGGGCAAAGGTAGGGTCCCCTTGCCATAGTCCCTGGCCATGCTTGATGGGAGTACTAGCTAACCCATTCAAGAGGAACCTCGAAGATAAGGAACATAGAAGAGCCACAATTCATTCTTCAAATTTGCTTCGAAAAGCTACGGAGGTCAAGCAAATACTTCTATTTGACGGAGTCAAAGGCCTTGCGAATGTCTAGCTTGAATAGGAAAGACTGAGAGAGGGAGTCTTCTCTTGTGCAGGCGACGCGCAAGGTTTCTAACCTATGTGACAATTTATATGTTTGATGTCGATGACGCTTCCAAGTTGGCGTCGATGATCCGGTTGTGTTTTTTTTGGCGAGGGGATGATCCGGTTGTGTTGTTATCGGTGTCGATGATCCGGTTGTGTTGTTATTTGTGCCAAGATCTTGTCAGTGGTCAGGTCACTCCGCGGTGCGCTAGCTTTGTAAATTATAATCTACTACTCCCATTGATCAGACAAATCTTTGCCTCATTGAAAAAAAGCTTTTATGAACTTCTCACACTGGCGTTAACCAAGGTTTCAGAATTTCAGAGCATTTGCTTGACTTTCTGGTTCATGTTCTAGGCATATTTGGGTTGAGGTTTTGGCTCAGATGATCGTAGTCATAGAGCACACACGTTTCAGCTGCCATAGATTAATCTTCTAGTAAACCTGCCACTTCATGGCAAGAAGTATGCGTAGTAATTAGATTGTGAAACTGTGATGTCCTGTAAGCAGTAGTTAGTTCAGCTATTTACAGATAAGCTTCTGTTGCAACGAACAAACAAAATTCAGCTTAGTCCTGGACCGGCGACGCCACAACATAGCCCGAGTGCCTGACAGCAGAACTACATAACTGAAACACAGAGCTGCAAGGGCATCCCCGCACGCTTTACAGATGTTTCTGTGGTAAAAAAAAAAAGATGATGATGATCAGCAGAAACAAAACTACTGTATTTCAGCACAGCTCACTGGTGGATCACCTCCAGAAACAAAACTATATTTCAGCACAGCTCACCGGTGGATCATCTCCAGAAACAAAACTATAGTTCAATAAAGCTCACTGGTGGATCATCTCCGCAGGTTATTATACACAGCAGAAAGAAGGCTTATATGTCCAACATTCATCCAACACAACACACGAATGAAAAAGAAGACAACGAAATGAGCAGGACAACACGATGCTGCATACTGCGTGTAGTGTTAATATCATCCTTCTTTGTTAACATCACCATGTGGATGGAAGTACAGACCGATCCAGAGGAGACAAATCCAAGTGGATGCCGAGTATTCTTTCGTACAATACAAGATTTTACCCGCTATACCTTACCTTGATACAAGATGGGACTCCCAAACCAAATCAAAAGAAAGAAGTGTCAGAAAACACGAAAAACCCTCACTATATGAACCAGGACATAAGACTTCTACAGCATTTTCATAGTTAGAGAATCAGGCGGCGTGATAGGACAGTGTGTATCGGATCTAAGCAGAACGAGAATCAGATAATATGCACGTATTAATCAGCCTTGGTCTGCTCTACTGACTTAACTGGCCGGGACTCGAACCCACCCCCTTTCCGGTTCTCGAGAGAGTAGGGCATGTATGTCCCCAAAATCTTATCCCAAAGGACGAAGAAAGGTTGCGAAAAGTTGTATTTATTGCCATAGAGCTGGTGGTGGATATCATGGTAAGCAGTGTTGTTGTTGAACAACGCATGGAGGATGTTACCGGGAAGCCACAGCCCGCAGTGGTCATCCACCGTCTTGATGGTCGCAAAAGAGAAAAAGAATATGGATGTTCGTGGTGTCATACCAGAGAGGAGGAAGGAGAGAGCACCGCCGATAGTGTCCAGAATAAGGCCCTCGAGAGGGTGGTTGTAAAGAGCCCCAAAGGAATAAGGGACTACAAGAGTGTGGTGCTTGGAATGGATGTGCTTATACAGAAACTTGTTGATGTGCATGTATCTGTGCATGAAGTACTGCCATGTGTCCATGACAAACATGGCGATGATAAATTGCAGCACTATCACCACAGCAGAAGGCTGCTTCGGTGCAATACCACTCTCATCGCCGATAACCTGCAGTTCATGGAAATTTAACCATGTTAGAAACTTGTGTATAAATGAAGCTATCAGGTAAGCTCCATAAGAATTGTTAAGGCCTGGTATTACTTCAAAAAACTGCTCGTTAAATTGGGCATTCCTGCATATCAAATTTTCCCCATGAGAAGCTATGTTGTTATACTTTCAGTCAACATAAAGTGTAGCTTGTGTTGCATCAATTTTGAGGTTTGTAACATGTTGTATGCTATTGTACAAATATATAACTGCTTCTCAGCAGCAATACTAGAATCAGCTCCTCACTACTATAATTCAGAGGGTCAGATTTCTTTGTTAGCAATGGTCAGCTTCTTATCTTCCATAGCAACTATATTTTTAAGGCGACGCCTTACCGCCTTAGGGAGGGGGGGCACTTTGGCGCCTAGGCGACGCCTAGACGGGCGCTTTGGACGCCTAGGCGCCCAAAGCGGTCGATTTTCCAAAGCAGAGGGGGAGCGCTTCGACGCCTAGGCGTCGCCTTAGGGACGCTTTAAAAACATAGCATAGCAAGTATAAACGCAAAAACGTAAGGCTGAGCAACTCTCCAGCAACCAAACTGCAGTTATAAGCATGGCATGCTGATTTCCTTTACTTAATATTTCATTTCATCACAGATAGTCAGGTCCCAAAAGTTTGCTCTATGTGGAATGCGGTAGTTACATGCCAAAACAATCCAAGACAAGGTCGTCCTAAGCCAGTCACTTCAGCTCCAAATCAGGATAGATAGCTTATCAAGCGTCTCTCTATCTAGTATCTACTAGTGCCATTTATGGAGAGGTAAAGAGAAAAGGCACTTTGCAGCTCAAAATCATGGTTGCCAATACAGCAAAGGCCTTAAAATCATTGTTGCCACTACAGCAAAGGCCAAAGCTACGTATTCAGGTGGCCTATCTGCAGACCAGAAGGGATATAGACAGGAAAGGGCGAGGAGGAGGATTACCGCGAAGAGCGTGAGCGCGACGACGACCTGGAAGGCCTGCTGGACGAGGACGCCCCTGACGACGGCACCCCTGGAGACGACGTTCCGGGCGGCCTCCTCGCCCCTGGGGTGCAGGCGGTAGGCGTCGAGGCGCTCCACGCCGTCCAGCGCGACGTAGAGCCCCGAGTAGAGCCAGTAGACGGCGATCGGCACGAAGGTGCCGAGCAGCTCGTCCGACACCCCAATCGGCATCCCGCCTCCCTCCCTCGCCCCCTCCCGAATCCCCGGCGAGGCGAGACGAGGCGACGGAGGAAATGCGCGCGCGCGGGCGCGAGGCTTCTTCCGCCCGACGCCCGTGGACGGCGCGCGGATTCGGGGGCGGGGGGCGGCGGGATTGGGGGCAGGCGGCCCGGATCTCTCCGACG